CGTTTTGAGTACATTACTGCCCAATGCTAAATCTTATATTGTGTAAGATGTGGTACTTAATTCTCATGGGCAGACATCCGGTATTTTCACCGCCTAGTGACCATCATGGTGAAAACAAAGGCTGAAAACTTTCAGAAAACGGTACTTTGGGATGGTTGTTGACACTCCCCTGAACAGTGTAACAAGATTAGCCCTACGTGTGTAACATATATAAATTTGGTTGTCCATGACTACTTCAGAGTTGATTTTGTGCTGTTTTCTCGAATTTAACAACTCTTCGACCGGCGTTCCACACCAGCTCACGCATAGCCCAAAGAAATACATGGTACAGTGATGCACGTCATAGCAACGTGGAACGTTATGTGATGTAGCTCCTTCCTTGAGGACAGCGTTTCCATACTGATATTTAGATCAGTGCCCTGTGTTGTGTTATAGCCCCCTCTACTGGTAACTTAAGGAGATTTCTATGTGTATTTTACTCCAGTGCTGTCAATTATATCACATTAATTTGTTTTCACACAATTCTGCATATACGTGTTGAGCAAATAAATGCATTGTTTTGAAATGTCTATTTATTACAGGTCCTGGTCTTGCTATTCGGGTGATATGTGCCGAAGAACCATTTATTTGCAGAGAATTTGCAAAAACGAATACTCTTATTCGAATGATAGTTGACTACAGTAATGCAGTTCAAAAGGTAAAATGAATTTCCAGTATCAGGGACTATGTAGGAACTGTAAACTGTTAAATTTAACTACTGTCTAAAACTGTAGTGGTTGTTGATTGACCCAAGTTTTAATCTTACCTGGGGTTGAACATTAAATAAAAAATTGTCTGAAAATTCATCTCTGGTGAAATGAGTTGTTTACAGTAATTAATTACATCATGTTATAGGACACATTGCATTTATCAGTTTGTCCTCAAAAATTAGTGTCCAGTGTTCTCCCCAGGCCTCTGAAGCAACACGGACCGTGACGCTTGGACACTCGGTCGTGATGCTTGCCCTTTGTCCGTGACGCTTAGTCACTCGCCCGTGATGCTTATGTTTTTGTTTACAAGTGTCAGTCTCGTCTTGCACGTATTTAAAACAATAACATGTATTGATTGATTTAGGTAATCCCGCTTTTGTTAGCCATACAAAGACAGTGATAAAAACGGAAGTCTGCAATATGTTGCGAAGTCTTTCAAAGGTGCAGAGCCTCCAAATCAAAAAAAAAATTAACTAGAGTAGCAATAATTTGCCCATTGCACGCAACGGCAACAATGTGACAAAACAAGTCACGGCGTACGTCGGGAAGATCAACCCTATTTTTGCTGCACTCTGATATGTTATCACTCAATCACCGGTGACATTAATTACCCCAAAATTAAAAAAACAAACAAGTGAAATTATGTCGCATTGGAAAGAAAAGTATGAATAATTCAACAGCAGATGAGACGGGTTGAGAAAAAACAAACTGACCTCTGGAAATACCCCATTCATAGGGTGCCTTAGTACAGAAAAACGCCGCCCTAAGGCGACGTTGCAACATTGTGACCGGTGCATGCTGGGTTACCAGGGGTTCTGACCGAGGTAACAAAGATGGCGGCGTAGAATGCATGATTTTCCGCGATGTTTAAAAACAACATCTTGTTGGCAATTTTGATGTAATGCCTATGATAATCGTCAATGAATCGTTTTAATAAACAATTTGTGTATTTCACACCAAAAAGTCAGATACCGATGATCGCAATAGCAGCAGTGAATACCCGTCCAACGCAATGCCGCCAGC